TAAATTTTTTACAGTGATTAAATGAAAAAAACAAAAACTGACCACTAAGATGATAATGACTGAAATGAACAACATTTTGCATGTGTTGAAGAAATGTTACATTTCAAATTTCTAGCAACTAATATTTAGCTGAAATTAACAAGGACTTCAAATGATTAAAATCGATATTTGATTATATTTTAATCTCATTCTTCTCTTTCTCTAACAATCCCAACAACTTTAATAGTATCAATCTAGATAGGCTTATTAATATTTTATTTTTACTTTCCTGTATGTTTTTAATATTACTGATAAAATGAGCAATATTTCATTAATATTGCAAAAAACGAAAAAAAAAAAACGTTTTTATCGCCCATAATTTCTTTTCATTATACTTTCGTTTTTTTTTTTTTGTAATTTCTAATTTTTTGTTGAATAAAAATTCTTCTTATCATATTAGTTATTTTAATATTTTACTATACATTTAGCATTTTCAACTTATATTTCTTTGAAAATATTGCTAATGGCATTAAAACATATGATAGAATCATAAAATACGTGAATATTAATTAAATACTTATTAATGCGATAAAATGTTAACCAAATTATACATAATTTATGAGAATATTATTAAAAGATAAAGCTTTTCAAATATAACCAAATTTTTGAAATATAATTTTGCTAACATATAGTGATGGCAAAATTTACTAAAAAGCAAATGATGATAAATACAAATAAATAATTGATAGTTATCAGTTAATAATTTTTACTGTGAAAGAATATGAGAAATTTTGCGAAAATTTTTCTTTTCAAAAAAAATCCAACTTTTATTTGTTTGTTTCTTTTTTTTTATTAGAATGAAAAGCATGATTATATCGATACTTATATACTTACATGTAAAAGAAGGTATTTCATTTATTGGATAAAGATTAAAGATAATGATTAATTAATAATCCTTTAATTTTTATCCAATAAATGAAATACCTTCTTTTACAAATTCATCTACTTATCCAACATTTATCTCTAGGTAAAACAAAATTTCCATTTCATATATTTACATGAAATTGCTAATATTTATTTCCTTTTAAAAGTGCTTCAATATTCCTATCGCTATGCATTTTTTTTTTTTAGCTGTTAAAAATTTAGAAAACATAGAAGTAAATGAATTCATTAAAAAAATGCTTCGTATATAGGAAATTAAAAAAAATAAATAAAAGCTAAGAGTAATAGTTTTTACTCAAAACACTTTTAAAAAGGGAGAGGGAAAAAATAGTTCAAGGAAGAAAGAGAGAGAAAGAGTGAAAGAGAAAGAACGAATGGGAGGAGGATAAGTAAGCGAGCTAAAAAAAGTAAACTCACATAATCATGAATAAACTAATTTAATAGCAGCTTATTTTCTCTTCATAAATAAAACTTTTTTTTTTGTTTCTCCTTTTTTCCACTTCATTGAATTTTTTTTTTTTTTTAAATCATGATACTGTCAAAATTTTTCAATTTTTGAACGCATTAAATTAGCATGTTTTTTTTTAGTATTTGCATATTTTTTTTAGTAGTTGTATAAGAAGGAATATAGCTGTTGACTCAAAAAAAAAAAAAAAATGTTTCATTTCTTCAATGGTTAATTTTGCTTATTTGCTTAGCAAACAAATGCTGCTGATAAGTTGATGATTTCTCATTCAACACCTTTAATTTATCTTTTTTTTTTATTTAATCGATAATAAGTTCATATACAACATATTTGAAGCTTTTCATGTACACTTCCATTCAAATTATTTTGCCTTATTAATATTTCTGCACACATTATCACAATCAAAATAGATAGCATCTTTGAGCGCCATTAGATAATCTTTGACCTTTACAAGAATAAATTATCCAATAGCAGAATGATAAATATATGTATTTTAATCAGTTTATTATTTGCTCAAATTTTTTGTTTCAAAAATTAAAAAACCAAAAACAAAAAAAAAAAGAATAATTTACAGCATTGAAATTTCATTAATTCCACTCGAAAACTAATTAATCTACAATGCAATGTTATTATTTACGAAATGTGCATTTATACTTCGGTTTCAATTTATCATTTACTTTTCTTCTTACTTTAATAAATACATACAATTTTTAACGATGGACACATTCATATCTAATTATTAAAAATGATTTCAGATTTTTCTTTTTTTTTTCTCTCTTTTTCTATTTTTGAAATTTGCTATTCATAACAATCGCTCTTTTTTTTTTCCTTCTAACATTCCATTTAAGATGGAAAACACTTTGAATGGTAAATTGACAAGGAAGAAAGAAATAAATGAGAGATATTGTCAAAATTTATGGAAATAGGATCTAGAAGATCCCGACAAACGATAAGCATTGGCGAAGTTATAAAATAGGTAAGGCCTCAAAATAATGAAGGTAATTAAAAATTTAGGTTACAGTGAGATATATTTAATATTATATCGTCATATATTTTATCAAAATTATGTCACATGATTTTCAAAGATTATTTACTATCAGAAATATTATATAATTAAATGATATGCTCACATTGAAATCATTAAATATAGGGAATAGTTGGTAATAAAAGAGAGCAAAAGAAATGGTAAAAGAAAGGAGGTGTGTTACATTAGGGGGGTATAAGAGGAATAAGAGATGATATATCATTAATATCAGTGATTGATATGGACATTGGTCAACCGATATCAATATGGTATATTGGTGGTATGTCATTTAAACTTTGCAATTAATTTCCTTTATTATGTTTCAATTTTTGCTTTCTT